TTTTTTTTTTTTTTTTTTTTTTTTTTTTTTTTTTTTTTTTTTTTTTTTTTTTTTTTTTTTTACAAACTCTTCAATTCCATTTTTAATTTTATAATATTCATTTATCTTTTTATTTTCTTTTCTTATATACACAACATCATTTATTTTCAATTAATCAATTCAATGTTCTAAAAGTTTCATAATTATTATTTTTATATAATTTTCATTTATTCTTTTTAGTTTATTTTTTCATCTATACAATAATATTTAAATTAAAAATTAAGAATTAAAAATAGTAGCATGAGAACCACTGATATTAGCATTTTTAATAAAATAGTTGATGGTATCCATTAATTTTTAATTTATAATATCTTTTTTTTATGCGCAACTACTTTTTAATTTTATTGTGAATGTTAGACGAACACGACTCTCCGCAATGGTATGATATTGTCCACTTTGAGCATAAGCTCTCATGGCTTTGCTTTGGGCTTCCCAAAAGGCCTCACCCTTCGTACCATGTTAGACGAACACGACTCTCCACAATGGTATGATATTGTCCACTTTGAGCATAAGCTCTCATGGCTTCCCAAGCGGCGGATCAAAGCCATGAGAGCTTATGCTCAAAGTGGACAATATCATACCATTGTGGAGAGTCGTGTTCGTCTAACATGGTATCAGAGCCATGCCCTAAACTTAGCCGTGTCAATAGATTGGCAAATCCTTAAATGTCGAACAAAGAACTCCAAAAGGAGTCAAGCTCCTCGAAGGTACGAAGGCAGTCAAAAATGACTAAGACTCTAAAGGAGTCGAGCCTCGATTAAGGGGAGGCGTGCTTTGTTCGAGGGGAGGTGTTGGATGATGAAAGTCCCACATCGGCTAATTTAGGGAATGGTCATGGGTTTATAATCTAAAAATACACTCTTCATTGATCTGAGGCCTTTTGGGAAGCCCAAAGCAAAGCCATGAGAGCTTATGTTCAAAGTGGACAATATCATACCATTGTGGAGAGTCGTATCAGAGTCAGAGATATATCAGGTATCACAAAAGTTGGACCGTGGATTAGAGTGTCTCACATGGATTTGAGAAAGGAACTAGCAAGGAGGAGGTGGACCTCTAATCCTATAAAACTGTTTTGAATCGGCCTTGCTTTTCTCCTTTGTTTGTTTCATACGCAACAATTGGAAAGAGCTGTAAGAAATCAGTGAGTGAGTGAGTGGTTCATGCGAGCGAGAGAAGAAATCAGAGCACGCGACTGTTACTGAATACTCTCCTTCTTTCTCTCTCTCTTTCCTTCCCAATTTCTGTCTCTTCCCGTGAAAGAAGAAGAACCGGAAGAACAATAAGCTCCAATGGCCAATCGAGTTCTGGTTTTTTCTTGTTTCTTTTCTTCTTTGAATTTCCGTTTTCGTTTTGTTTCTTCTTTCACTCTGTTTCAGATTCTTAACTGTAATTCTCTGTTTCTGTTCTTCGTTCGACTTTCTTGCTCTCCCTCTCTTTGATTCTTACTGTGTTTTCTTTGACAGAGTGTGAGAAAAATGAATGCCAGACTTCGACCCGACATTCAATTCCAGATACAGAAACCGTCAATTCATGATCAAGTAAGGCGTTCGACTTTTTAATTAGTTTCTGTTTTCTTGAAATCTTACGAGGATGAGAGGAGTTCACATCAGTTAATTAATTAAGGGGTTGATCCTGAGTTTATAAGTAAAAAATACATCTCCATTGATACGAAGCCTTTTAAAGAAGCAAAAAACAAAGTCACGGGAGCTTAGGCTCAAAATGGACAATATCATGTTATTATGGGAGCGTCTTAGCAAATGAAACCAACAAAATGGTGTTAGTTGCTTCGATTTTCACTGGTAAATTTGATATTGATTACTTGTCTCATGAAATGAACAATGAATTTCTTCTAATAGCAGGAGAATAAGAAATCAGGAAGGAGCAAAGAGATGGGAGATGAAAATGGTGGAATTATGATCCATAGACGAAGATTAAACAGAGAAAAGAAAATGGCATTGCTACAAGATGTATTCGATTCCTTCATTTTCTCTTTTTTTTTTTTTTTTATCAAATGTTATTTTTATGTTCTACGGCGCTTAGTTCTGGTTGTATCTTTGAATTTACAGGTTGATAAGCTGAAGAAGAAGCTGAGGCATGAGGAGAATGTTCACAGAGCTTTGAAGAGAGCTTTCAGTAGACCTTTAGGAGCCTTGCCTCGTCTTCCTCCTTATCTCCCTCCATCTGTAAGTCTCTATCTCTTTAACCTTACAAATCAGAATCATTATCTTTCTCAATCAGTAAGAGATGCGGGCAAAAGTAAGTTATAGACGTTGAGGATTGTTGGGAGGGAGTTCCATATTAGACTAATTAAGGAGAAGATCATGAGTTTATAAGTAAGGAATATATCTCCATTGATATGAGGCCGTTTAGAGCTTATGCTCAAAGTGTCCAGAGGGTCGTGGTTTCTAACATGGTATTAGAGCCATGCGCTTAACTTAGTCATGTCAATATAATATTCAAGTGTCGAACAAAAAATTTGTGAGTTTTAAAAATGTACTCAAAAGTGACTCAAGTGTCGAACAAAAGGGTGTACTTTGTTCGAGGGCTCCAGAGAAGGAATTGGGCCTCAATTAAAAGGAGAGGTTGTTCAAGGGCTCCATAGACTTAGGGGAGACTCTATAAAATATTTGTTAAGGAGTGGATGATTGAGGATTGTTGGGAGATCATGGGTTTATAAGGAATATGTCTCCATTGGTATGAGACCTTTCGAGGAAACCAAAAGTCAAAGCCATGAGAGCTTATGCTTAAAGTTGACAATATCATATCATTGTGGATAGTCGTGCTCACTTCTTGCGCTATGCTCATAGTCCACTCGTTTGATTCTGGGGAGGCTTCACCCTTCCTGATCTTGCTCTGAGATAGTACTGAAACCATCTTCATTAAGCACTTTATTCTGTTGAATTTTATGTATGTCCAATGGGTCATGTTGCATCCTTGTCCTTGCAGACACTTGAGCTTCTAGCTGAAGTAGCTGTTCTTGAAGAGGAAGTTGTCTGGCTTACAGAAAGAGTTGTGAATTTTCAACAAAATCTTTATGAAGAAGCTGCCTATGTTTCCTCACAGCGGAATGTCAAAAATTTTGTCAATAGCTCTGATCAAACAAGGAATGCCAAGCAAACCTCTTGGAAATCAAATTCACCTTCAAAGGAAAACCAGTTTGCTTCTTGTTATGTGAAAGATAAACCTTCCCCAGAAAAGAAATCCACAAAAATTATCAGCCCATCCAAAAAGACAAAGATGCCAACTGAACATGAACTTGCAGAGAAGAGCTTAGAAATTTTGAATTTGCAGGTTTAATTGAATTATGATCTTGCAATTCATGTCTTTCTGTAATTATTTGTCATATTGATCTTATTTCCTACTTGTCCAGCTTGGGTCCAGATTAATGGATCATGAAAGAGCACAAGAGAGTTCTTGTGGTGCATCAGATAATGTAGAATCTAAGACATCAGCTAACGAAATTTCTGAGGATATTGTGAAGTGTTTGTGTTCCATTTTTGTTCAAGAGGGCACTCCGAGAGACAAATGTATCAAAGGAAATGATATTGTTTCCAGTCGATGTCTCTTTACGGTCAAAGCGAACCCGATTTATCACAATGAAACGGTTAACACAGTTCCCCTAATTCACAGGCTAAAGTATGCTGATTTTCTTTGTAAGTTGGGGATTAAGCATATTATTTTCCTTTGAATTTATTCTTGTTTAGTAATGATGTTTAGATACCTACTTGGAAAGCTTGCCTCTGTGAACTTAGAGGGTCTTAACCAGCAGCAGAAGCTTGCCTTTTGGATTAACACCTATAATTCTTGCATAATGAATGTGAGTTTCTTGAGTTTCTCGAGTTTTTGACGAATGGTTTACGATGACCTGAAATATAATTGAATCAAATTTGAATGGCTTCTGGAAAAGTCACTGAATTGAACATTTTCAGGCACTTTTGGAGCATGGAATACCAGAGACTCCAGAAAGGGTTGTAGCTCTAATGCAAAAGGTAGAAGGATTCATACCATTCATCATGTTCTTTTGAAATTTCTTTTCGCTTCTTGCCCAAATGTCGCACCAGATCGGAAATGGTTTGGATGTTTGGGAAAGTTTCTATTGGGAGGGAGTCCCACGTTGGCTAATTAAGGAGATGATCATGAATTTATAAGTAAGGAATATATCTCCATTGGTACGAGGACTTTTGGGGAAACCAAAAGCAAAACTATGAGAGATTAGACTCAAAGTGGACAATATCATACCATTGTGGAAAGTCGTGGTTCCTAACATGGTATTAGAATCATGCCTTAACTTAGCCATGTCAATAGCATCCTCAAATGTCGAACAAAGAAGTTGAGAGCCTTGAAGGTGTAGTCAAAAGGGACTCAAGTATCGAACAGAGGGTATACTTTGTTCGAAGGCTCCAGAGAAGGGAGTCGAGCCTCGATTAAGGGGAGACTGTTAGATGGCTCCATAGACTTTAGGAAATGCTTTATAGTGTACTTTGTTCGATGGGAGGATTGTTGAGGATGGTTGGGAGGGAGTCCCACATTGGCTAATTTAGGGAATGATCCTGGGTTTATAAGTAAGGAATACATCTCTATTGGTATGAGACCTAAGGTCCAAAGCAAAGCCACGAGAGCTTATGCTCAAAGTGGACATTATCATACCATTGTGGAGAGTCGTGATTCCTAACAATTTCTCCAAGCCAGAACCTACGATATATACTTCAATATATGAAAGGCCTCGATGTCTCTCAAAGTTTGCAAGTGCAAGCATTTGAACATTGATTGGGAACTTAATACTTTTGCTTTGTTTCTTTTTCCATGATTGCATCAGGCCGAAATAGTCATTGGGGGATGCATACTCAATGCAATGACAATAGAGCAATTTATCTTGCGACTATCTTAACACCTGAAGTTTGTAAGCTTACTCTCTAAATTAAACTTCACTCTGATTATAAGCAATGATTGAGCTCATTCTGGTATCATTAAACGTTACTCTTTTCCCTTTTGGTGCATCAGATGCGGTCAAAGGCTGTCGTCAAAAGTTACGAAGCTGGTCGTCTCATCCGGTAAGTTCGCAATTTAATGGTACATTCGAATAACCAGCTCCAAAGACGACTATTTTCCGTTCATTCAATGCATTGTATGAGTGAAAGGAAGGTTGAAAGTATACATAGGAAGTCATGTGGAGGAAGAGTTAGAAGAGTTTGTTTCAAGTCATTCCTTAAGATTTGCTTTTAAATAAGTTGGATTCATGAAGTTGAAAATGCTGTTCAGAGTGTATAGACAGATACATGTGAATGCTGGTTTGTGGACTCGATAAATCTTCTTTGAAGATTTTTTTTTCTTCTCTAGTGTCTTGCATAAACACGAGTAGAGATGTGTACTTAACTTGAGAGCTAGAGTGCTGATTCTCGACTAGGCTTGTCTTGTTCATCTTTTTTTTGTATATTGGATCAATGATCTTGTAGAGGAATGGGTTGAAATCTTGTGTGTTTTATTATATTCAAAGCCTTTTCACTTTCAAAGTCTTTAGATCTTTTAATCTTCCAAGTATCGAGTTTAGAAAAACTTGTAAGAGCTTTAGAAAGTTTTCCAAGTATCTTTTAATCTTCCCAGGATTGAAATCTTGGAATCTATTATCAAGTCTTTTTACATGGACCCACTAGGTCTGCTCGTATACGTATCCCTTAGATTTGACTTGATCGGGCACAATACATTGCATGTTGCTGGATGCCACAAAAATAGAAAAGATCGCATGATATCATGACGAATATAAATATCGAAGACAAATATCCTACTAACATAATGTAATAGGAAAATATCCTGATGCACATGATATACATATATGTATGAGGTCCCCATTATTTACATTCATAGCATAACATTAACATCACTCATGTTCTTCTTTCATCCAAAACATATTACATACATGCATTATGTATACATGCCAATCATCACATTATCCATCGAATAACTTCACATGGCAAGACATGACATGACATACATGGCATTTCATTTCATTTATAACATTGTGTAATGGATATCATATGCATACATTACATAACATCATATGTCCCGATTTCTGGCAAAGTTTGAATTTTGATTTTCCAAACCATTTCATTATACCCTTCTAAAAAGAACTTTCGTCCTCGATAGTACCTGCATTCAGAAACAGCTCGAGGTATTTCTCCCATATCTCATCCTCTCATTCCCATATGGCTTCATCTCTTTGCTGGTTTCTCAACAATACTTTGACAAAAGCAATGTCCCTGGTGCGTAGAGTTTTTACCTCACATGCCAAGATCCTCACTAGTCTTTCTTCGTAACTCAACTCTTCCGCCACTTTTAGGGATTTATAGTCTATCACGTGGATGGGATTGGTCAGATACTTACAGAGTATGGATACATAAAACACGTTATGCACCATTGAGAGGGACAGTGGTAGGGCTAATCTATATGCAACGGGTCTGGTCCGATCTTAGATCTCAAAGGGTCCTATAAAGCGTTGAATCAACTTGCCTTTGCGTCCAAACCTTAAAACACCTTTCATTGGGACCACCCTCAAGAATACCATGTCGCCCACTTCAAATTCTAGACTCCTTCTCCTAACATATGCCAAACTTTTATTTCTACTCTGAGCAGTGCACATTCCTGCTCGGATCTTTTGTACCATCTCATTGGTAACTTGGACTAATTCGCGACCCACTAACTCGAGTTCTCCTACTCCATCCTAACACAATGAAGTCCTGTACCGTTTATTATATAAAGCCTCATATGATTCCATGCCAATAGTTGCCTGGAAGTTGTTGCAGGCGAATTCCATTAAATACAATTTCGAGTCCAAGCTACCTGCAAAATCTAATACACAGGCACGTAGCGTATCTTGTATGATCTGGTTCAAACGTTTCGTCTGACCATCTGTCTATGGGTGAAATGTGGTCTGACCATTTGTCTACCTGTGGGTGAAATGCCGATGTAAAGTGTGAGCCTCGATTTGAGACAATTGACATAGGAACTCCAATGCAATCTAACAATTTCCTTCATGTATAGTTATGTCCAATTGTCCACTGTGTAGGTGGCTTTACCAAGAAGGAAATACGTTGTGATATGAAATCAACCCAAAGGAAAGTATGGAACGGATTACCTTGATGATCAAGATCAAGAGTAAAGAAAACTCGTTTTTAAACTCGTGATTCGAATCACTCCACAAGAGGTTTGATCACTACCACTTGAATGACCCTGGCATATAAGTTCTAAACACAAGAATTTGCAAAGAAGATCTTAGCTCCAAAATGTAATGTCTCTAATCAAAGAAAAGAAGGCTTTATATTGCCTTTACAACCTTAACCTAGACACATAACTCCCAAATTAAATTGGCTAGTAAATGAGAAATACCCATAACCTTTATATTAAAATGGTTAGTTAATGGTGGAATATAGTAACCTAGGTGGGTTACAATATAATAACTCCTATATTAAAAACTAGCTTAAATATGACAAACAAATATTTAAATTATAATTAAATAGTGCAATGAATGAAATGTGCTTATTAGTCATCTTGGACTAGTTTCATAAATTCAGGTGTGTTCATTAAATACAACTTAAAGTGCATTTAATGCATCTCTTTCTTCAAGCTCAACTTTGCACAACATATAAATGAGTTCTTCAACATCTTCTAGAATTTCCTTTGATGAGCTCACCGTAGCTTGAATATAAGTGTTCAAGGTTTGTTGTAGCTTCTTGGCTCTCGTCCTTGTAATTGGACCTTGAGGTATGAAAATTCCTTGGTCGTGGTTCATATCATGTTGACTTTGTCAATCTGTTCACAATTACCCACATGGCTATATTCTTCCATTTCCATTTCGGTACACTTAGGGGCTACAACAATCTCGCTGTTCTTTGTCTCGATGCCTTAGTTTGCTGGAATACCAAGCATTTACTTACAAATTCCGCTATATCCTTCTTCCTACTACGCCACAAAAAATGTTGTTTTTAGTCTTGATACATCTTTACCAGGGTGCATGGTGAACGGAAAATTATTTGTCTTGCCTATTATCTCATTTTTTTCAGTTATTCTACCACAGGTACACACAAACGACCTTGGTACAGCAATCTGTCATCAGACGATTTAGAGTACCCATCAACTGCTTTGTCACTAACTCATTAAGTATTTTTCTTAACCCAGGGTCTCCTAGTTGAGCATCGATGATCCTTTGTCGGAGTTCAAGTTGGACCATCAATTGGGCTAGCTATGCTCTAATTCCTTCCACTGTTGTCGTGATTAACCTCGACAAATGGGTCGTCTTTCTACTTAGGGCATCTGCAACCACATTAGTCTTCCTAGGGTGGTATTGGATGTCAATGTTGTAGTCTTTTACTAGCTCCAATCATCTTCGTTGTTTCATGTTCAGTTCCTTCTGAGTAAAGAAATACTTCAAACTTTTGTAGTTGGCGTAGATCTGAGTTTTCTCCTCATACAAGTAGTGCCACCAAATCTTTAATGTAAAGACTACCACGGCTAGTGCCAAGTCATGCATGGGATAATTCTGTTCATAATCCTTTAATTGTCGAGATGCGTATGCAATAACCTTTCTGCTCTGCATCGTCACACATCCTAGGCCCTTCTTGGAAGCATCACTGTAAATTACATAGTTTTTTGTGTCGTAGGGCATTGTTAGTACTGGTGCAGCCACCAGCCTATCTGATATGTGGAAATCATTACAAGGGGAGTAAGATTTAGATTCCCTTGTTGATCAAATATCTCAAGGCAAGAACATTGTTTGAGATTCGAATCACTCCACAAGCAAGATCGATCATGTTTAACTTGAATGATTCTTGTTGATCAAATATCTCAAGGCTAGAACACTTGATTGAGATTCGAATCACTCCACAAGCAAGATCGATCATGTCGAGCTTGAATGATTCTACATGCAACCTAAACTACATAGAATTGCAAAGAAACTTAGCCATTGGCTAAAGAAAAGCACAAATGTTTCTTTTATATATATTTTTCGCTTACAAATACAACATAAATGGCTTTATATAGTCTCAAAATGAAACTATTAAAGACATTCCAAGAGTCGTAACATTCATACTTAATGGCCATAATTATCCATTATGTACTTGTAGCCTAAAGTAAATAAAAAGTTTTAAAACACATTAATGAAATACAATAACTCTAAATTACTCTAAATTGTAATCCACCCAAAATTTATAACATGAAACTTCATTCTTCTTCAATGTGGCATGAATTGAAATATCTTTTGATAATTTCAACAATATTTTCTTCACATCTTCATTGAAGCATATTGTATGATTGATGTCTCTTGGTTTATATCAGCTTTTCTTAGCTCAACTTTGCCACCTAGAGGATGAGAAAGAGGGCATAGAGGCCGACCTCTTATTAGTGGTACAGGAAGGGGTAGAAGAGGAAGAGTTGCAGTACGCTAGGAATCAGTGAATTGACTCAATGAAATGGTGCCACCCCCAACTCGCTTCTCAAGCAACATTAGACCCCACAACTACCCTAATGGGACCGTTACCAGCGGTTATACTAATGATGGTAACCACACAATGTTGGATTTAACCCACGATTGAAATATGTTACAACAAGTAAAAGAGGCAAAGGAAAAAATTGAGGGGCGAGAGCTTTTGGAACAAAGTAATCTTAAGCACTTAGCTTTTCACTTCTCCTTTGTTGTTGTGAGAAAATCATACTTCTCATTAGTATTTATAGTGGAGAAAGCACTAAACTTGTTTCCTAAACTATCTACTCAAGTAATGAACCACTAAAAATCTTTTTAATAAGCATAAGGTTTAGTCCACAACCACAAAACTTGGTCCACAATTTTGCAACTGCTACCAATTCTCCTATAGTTACTCCATAAGTACTACTAAGTCTATTAATAATTCTCGTAAGGTTACTCCAAAGCTAGTAACTTGTTCTACTAAGACTACTAACAATTTTTCTAAAGTTACTATATAAATTAATAACTTGTTCTACTAGCTCAAGTTTATTAGCTCACAATCTCCTCCGTAAACTTAATTTTGTTCGAGAATCTTCACTCCCAGCAATTCCTGCATCTTTACAAACTTAACCCTTGCAAGGGCCTTGGTTAGAATATATGCGCGTTGCTCTCTAGTGCATACGAACTCCAAAATGATTTGCCTCTTCACAACACATTCATAGATGAAGTGGAAGCAAATGTAATTCTGTTAGCTGCGTCCGTCAATACTAGATTCTTCATGAGTGCAATTGCAGATTTGTTGTCGACGTAGAGAGTTACCGACTTTAGTTCACTTCTAGTCACTTCGCTCAACAAATTTCTCAGCCACAATGCTTGACACGACACTATAGTTGCTGCCATGAACTCGGCCTCATAGGAAGATAGTACCACAGTTCGTTGATTCAAAGATTGCCAAGAGATCAAATTTTCGTTGAGATAAAACGTCATTCCTGCGGTGCGTTTCCTATCGCCAATGTCTCTAGCTAAAACGTCACCATTTAGAAATGTTGATTTGACGTCCAAGTGATGACCTCCCACCCGTGTTGAGCTGCTAGAGTAAGAATCAACCTTATAGTGTCCAGTCTAGCCACAATGCAAAAACCTTCTCAAAATTAACTTCTTGTCATTGCACATATCCTTTCGCCACGAGTCTTCCTTTATGCTTGATGAAATTTTCTTCACTTGTCTTCTTCAACTTAAACACCCACTTCAAACCGATGGGCTTGTGTCCGGACGATAAGTTAGTTAATGCTCATGTCTTGTTTTTCTCAATGGCTTCAAGCACTTTTTGCATGGCCTCCTGCCACATCATTTTAGTTGGAGCCTCAAGGTAGGTTGTCAGATCCTCTGTCGCGACCAACACTAACTCATCGGGATCTAATTCTCTTCAAGTGTATCCGCATAAATTTCAGCAAGAGAACGAATCTTCTTTGGTCCATCCTCTAATGTGGATCCTCCTATGCTCTCGCTTGAGCTCTCTTGTTCTAGGGAGTCCATCACGCCTTGTGGTGTCACCAGTGATGACATGCGTAGACTTGTTGGTGTTGCTGTAGGGGCACTTTCTAGGTCTGTTGCGTATCCCTCTTCTTTTAGAGTAGTGAACTTTGTAACAGTTTGCTTGTTATCGCCAACACTGCACCAATCCCACTTCTTCTTTTCTATGAATACAACATCTCTACTTACACAAATTTTCTCATGTTGCGGATCATATAGCATGCGTGCCTTGGTGCCATCCTCCACGCCAAAATACGTCATCTTTTGGCTTATGATATCAAAATTTTTGATGTATAGCTTTGTCGTCTTAACCTGTGTTGTACAACAAAAGACACTTATATACTCTAAGTGAGGTGTAATACCCAAATTTTTAGATAAATAAATAAATAAATAAAATAACAACAAGATGGGGAAAAAGGGTCATTTTGCCCATACACCTACCAAGGGGTCTAGTTGTTTGGGCTCTAAGAAGAAAGAGAAAGAAAAGAAAAAAAAGAGAGAGAGAGAAAGGAGAAAGGAGAAGAAGTTAGGGTTTGGGAGAGAGGAATAGCAGAGAAGACAAACTGCTGTTGGAGATCGAATCCAAAGCAAGAAACTTCGAAGCAATACTCCTCTCGATGCTGGAAAAGGAGTTTGGGTGGTGGATCCACTCATTCCAGCAAGAAAATCTGAGAACGGACAAAGTAAGATTTCGAACTTTGTGTTTCGATTTTATCTAGATCTAAGGAATTTTATGAGCGTTAGATGTGGAGTTTTTAAGGTATGTAACTAAAATAAGATTCACACAGGTCTCTTGAAGTTTCTGGACGAAAATCGGAGTTTCAAGAAAATGTTATTTTCGGTAAGAACTCGTGTTTTTCCCTAAATTCGAACTCAAATAAAAAGACCTGTGATTACCAAAAAAATACAAGAAAAAATATATTGTAGAAATAGAATATGAGATCTACAATATTTGTGAAGAGAACTTATTGATTAGGATTACGGATTGGAAGATATAAAAATCGGAAGAAAATGGATCGAAAGCACCAAAACTCACGTTTCTAGAAAATTTGGAAAAAATGCAGGAGGAGAGAGGAGGCATCACCGCCACGCGTCGGCCGACGTAAGGAGGAGCGCGGAAGGACAGACGAGCGACACGTGGCAACCACGGGCTGGAGAAGCGCATCAGGCGCGCGCAACCGAGTTGGCCTGAGTCTGAACCGGCCGCTGGCCCGCGACTGTGCGGGAAGTCGCGCACGTAGAAAGCCACGTGTAGTACACCCTCTAGAGCGCGTCAGCGCGTGTGTAGGAGCGTGAGTGACCGTTTTCCCTCCGTTTGCTTGTTTTTTGCCCCGATTTCAACTATGATCCTATTTTTATGTGAATTAGGACCTATCAAGGAAATTCCAGAATTTTTGAAACTTTTTTTGGCAAATAATTCGAGCTTGGGAAGGCACGCGTCAACGATGTAAGTAGCCATTTGGATTCCCATGAGCAGTACTTGTAGGAACCGCTAGGAACAAGCATGCATGCTACCATCCATAAACTTAGCTAGCCGGACCTAGCATATTAGTATGGAAACTGCGAAAATGAAATGATTAAGGAAAGCTAGATATGAAATGTTTATTAAATCTATTTTGATTGAGATTCTGATAAAGTATATATGCATGAGGAGGATGGGAAACTTGTGAAATCTGCGCTCCGGGTAAAGATGGACATTATCTTCCCGTTGAGCATGTTTGTTAATATTGCATGAACTGCTGCGTGCTAACTCCTATGCATGATGATTGCTTGTGTTATCTTTCTTGATGAACAGGAAGAAATTATGAGCTTAAATTCGGGTGCTTGGGACTAGGTAGGCTAGATGAGATCCTAGATTGGGGGACCTCTAGAATACCGTGCATTTAGACCCGCGAAATGGTTACTAGTGGATCCAGAGCCTAGAATTTGAAACCTGATAGGTTTGTGAGACCTTGCACGAGAATCCTAGAGATGCATGAATCCAAGTTTAAACCACCAAGTTCCACCCTAGAAAGAATAGTAGGTCACCACGGTAGTTGTAGGTAGCTCGCTAGAGTTGAGCAGTGTGAATAGTGTCATCAGAACCTCCACTTCCCTCTCTGCTCCGATACAGTACCGTTGAGACAGAGCTCCGGTACGGAGATCGTTGAGCTTGACAGATCTGGATAGGGAAGTGTGATAGGTGCCTAGACCTAGTGGTGATAGCTAAGGGGTCTTTTGAACAGAACTCCTGGGCCGTAGAAACCTGTCCCTGAGCGGGAGACGTGGAGCCATGTAGGATGACTCAGTAGTTGACCGACACATAGGGGGTTGCACCCCGTTTAGTGTATGTATGGTCCCATGTGAGGGTCGTTAGCTAACCTTCATGGATGATGTTCAGAGAGAGTCATGTATTCAGATCCAGCCATACGATCCCCTCAGATTTACTTATGAGGTCGCGCCTCACCTAAGACACTAATCATTTCACTACATAAGATGAGCAAATCTCCTAAGATACAGAAAAGAGAGTTGTAGCGTGATTCGCACTCACTAGAACCCAGAGATAAGACTGTGTATACCTACTAAGATAAGGATGCGAAAAGAGCCTACAAGTAGGTTACTTACTGAGTATATTTTTATACTCACCCCTTTCTTCCCTTTTTTTTTTCAGGTACCAGTCGATACGAGGAGGTGTTCGAGAGCTGCACTGTCATAGAGGGGTGTCGTTCCGGAGCGTTAGTCCCTTGTCGGTCTTTTAGAGTCCTTCGTCCGTTTTCATATTTGGAGTCTTTTGTATTTCATTTTATATTTTCAATTCCTATTTGTAACATTTGACTTTCATTTTATATTTAATTTTGGTGTCCTTGATTTTCTTTTCGTTTTAAATTTTTCCGGATTTTTACCTTCTATTTTATTTTCTTTTTATTTTTATTCATTTTTCGATTTCATCTTTTTGGTCACGATTCGGTCTTTCGAAGCCTCGAAAGTTGGGTCATGACATGAGGTGTCTTACTGAACAATGCTTAATAGGGGGTGCGAGTGTCCAGCGCCTTTCTCGGTAAACAATTTAGAAGATAAACCACATGTTGTATTGCCTTGCCCCATAAAATTGTCGGGACTGCATGCTCTTGAGTAAGCTTCTTGTAGTGTTTATTATGGTGCGGTTTCTTCATTCAATCATACCGTTTTGTTATGGAGTATACGGTGCGGTGAGTTGATGCTTGATACCTTCCTCTTCGTAAAATTCTGAGAAGTTTTTGGATAAGAATTCACCATTTGATCGATGCGCAAGGTTTTCAGCTTGTGATCAGACCCATTTTCAACGAGACTTTTGAACTTCTTGAACGCAGATAATGCCTCTCCTTTTTCTTTGAGCATGTACACCCACATCAGTGCGAGCTCTTAATCTTGCGTGAGTGTGTGGCTTACCTCTTTCCCTCTCTTCTTCTTGCGGCACTCTACTGCAAGTTTTTCCCCCATAACGATGGGTGCCAAAATGTTTGTTCACTCAAAAAATTGTCTTCACTCACACTCTCTATGTTTGATCACTCAAAAAATTGTAACTCTATAAAGCCTAGTGGTGGCTCTAAAACCAATTATAATGTTTTGACACAAGAAATACTAAGCAAGAAACCTAAACAATTGGATTTTCAATTGATGATATTATTTAATACCGAACTTGGCTATTATAAGTGACCAGAGAAATAGAAACTAACCACAATTATTGCTAAGTAGTTAAAATAATTAGCTAAAAACACTCTAACTATCCCACAAGAAACAATCTTTATTTAACCATATTTGTCATAATTAAATTCTTCCTATTGTAGTAGCTTGTTGGTGTAAGTTAGTAACTTGTTCTACTAGCTCAAGTTTATTAGCTCACAATCTTCACCGTAAACTTAATTTTATTCAAGATTCTTCACTCCCAGAAATTTCCGTATCTCTACAAACTTAACCGTTGCTAGGGCCTTGGTTAGAATATCTGCACATTGCTCTCTAGTGCATTCGAACTCCAAAATGATTTGTCTCTTATCAACGCAGTCACAGATAAATTGGAAATGAGTGTCAATATGTTTGCTACCTCCGTGAAATACTGGATTCTTCATGACTGCAATTGCAGATTGTCAACGAAGAGAGTTATCGACTTTAGTTCACTTCTAGTCACTCTGCTCAACAAATTTCTCTATGACAATGCTTGGCACAGGCCATAGTTGCTGCCAAGAACTCGGCCTCACAAGAAAAGTGTGTCAAAGTTTGCTGCTTCTGAGATTGCCAAGAGATTAAATTTTCGTTGAGATAAAACGTCATTCCTGCAGTATTTTTTCTATCGTCAATGTCTCCAGTTAAATCACTATTGGTAAAACTGACTAATTCATTAGGACCTCGCCCCCTTCACGTCATCATAGTGGGCTTTTCCATGTACTAATTATTCCAACAACATATGAAAGGTCCGGACAAGTATCAATCAGGTATCTTAGACTTCTGATGACACGCCTATACTCAGTAGAATTCACCAAGTTTCCTTCAGCATCTTTCCCGAGTTGTAACTTTTCTTCCATGGGATACTTGGTCAGGTTGTACTTTTCCATTGCTTTTTGGCATGATGTAATCTTTCCTTTTGTACACTACAATACTGAGGTAGTACGTATTGGATTTGACCCACGATCAGAATTATGTCGAAACATGAACAAGAGGCAAAGGAAAACATGAGGGGAGAAAGCTTGATATGTGGAAATTAATACAAGGGGAGTAAGATTCAGATTACCTTGTTGATCAAATATCTCAACACAAGAACATTGTTTGAGATTCAAATCACTCCATAAGTAAGATCGATCATGTCTAGCTTGAATGATTCTTGTTGATCAAATATCAGGCAAGAACACTTGATTGAGATTCGAATCACTCCACAAGCAAGATTGATCATGTCGAGCTTGAATGATTCTACATGCAACCTAAACTACATAGAATTGCAAAGAAACTTAGTCATTGGCTAAAGAAAAACACAAATGTTTCTTTTACTATATTTTTCAAGTCTACTTACAAATACAACATACATGGCTTTATATAGCCTCAAAATGAAACTATTAAAGGCATTCCAAGAGTTGTAACGTTCATACTTAATGACCATAATTAACCATTATGTAATTGTAACCTAAAGCAAATAAAAAGTCTTAAAATACATTAATGAAATACAATTACTCTAAATTGTAATCCTCCCAAAATTTATAACAATGAAACTTCATTTTTCTTCAATGTGTCATGAATTGAAATATATTTTGATAATTTCAACAATATTTTCTTCACATCTTCATTCAAGTATATTGTATGATTGATGTCTCTTGGTTCATATCAGGAGGTGGGTTGGCTGGTCTCCAATAATATCTATCTTGTATAGGCGGTTATGCAACCGTTTTACCTTAATTAACAAGGTTTTATTTCTTTCAAACATTTTGAGGAATGAGCCAGCTAACTCTACTCTGCTTCCTTCTTCCATCATCTTACCAAGATTGATAATGCTACTCTAAACGTTGGTCGCCATTCTTGCTCTTGAATAAGATGGATCCTTTGCCTTGGATCAGAATAATTGATCCATCACCGAACTTCACGTTTCCAATGAGCTTCTCATCAAGGTTCTTGAACTTAGTTCGATCTTCGGTCATGCGGTTGCTTGCTCCATTGTCAAGGTACCACATGTTGGTCTCTACTTGGTCTTCTCCTTTTGAGAGAAGTTTTGCCATTAACTTTTCTTCGTTGATATATGTTTGGCATCTTCTCGACCAACATCAGTGCGGGCTTTTGATCTTGCATGAGTGTGAGGTTTGCCTCCTCATCTCGCTTCTTCTTGTGACACTCTACCCCATAGTGTCCATATTTTCCATAAGAGTAACACTTGATCATACTCTTGGCCTCCTCTGCCACCACGTCTGCGGTCATGTTTGCGACCATATCCACGACTTTTTTTTTTCTTGTTAAGCTACCACGTCCATCATACTTGAAAAAGAAGAGTTAGCTGTATTATTCTTTTTCGTCCGTGCGAACCTATCCTCATGTGTGAATAAGAGGTGTTTTTCGTCCTCTTTATCTTCATAGCCACAAAGTTTATCCTCATGGACCTTAAGATGACCAACGACCTCCTCAACTGACATGTTCTTTGGAGATCCCCAAATTGCTAAATGACCTCCTCAACAACCTCCTCATGGACCTTAACAATTTGTATGAATCTTGGTGGAACATCTCGAAGGAACTTTTCGACGATGGAGATCTCCTCTACCATGTCACATAATGAACGGATGCCACTGACGATCGTCGTTAACTTCATGGGAATGTCGTCTATTGACTCACCATCCTTCATGCGAACAACCTCGAACTCACTCTTCAAGGTATGCACCTTTGCTTCCTTGACACATTCCACACCCACATGCATCGTTTGTAGCGTCTCCCACGTTGCCTTTGTTGAGTCCTTTTCTCCCAACATAAGAATAACATCCTCTGGGATTGCTTGTTAGATGGTGGAAAAGAGTCATTCAGTCCTTACCTCTCGCCAACATCACCATGCTCGCTGGCATCCCACACACCTTATGTTTGTAAGTTGACACGCATCTTGATTGATCATGTTGTGTAGTTGCTCTTCGTGAGTAATGAGAATTGTAGCGTTACACTCCCCTGCTTTTCACTCTTTATCGTTGTCACTTTTTCTCCTGTGACGTTGTAGAGTGACGACATTTGTTTCAGAATCTTGGCTCTGATACCAAATGTTGAATTTGACCCACAATTGAAATATGTCAAAACAAGTAAAAGAGGCAAAGGTAAAACTTGAAGGGAGAGAGCTTTTGGAACAAAGTAATCTTAAACACTTAGCTTTTCATTTCTCGTTTGTTGTTGCTTTGCTATGAAAAAAACATACTTCTCATGAGTATTTATAGTGGAGAAAACACTAAGTTGTTTTCTAAACTTTATCCTCAAGTTATGAACCACTAATGATGACCTAATTAAAGCACAAAGCTTAGTCCACAACCACAAAACTTGGTCCACAATTTGGCAATGACTAGCAATTCTCCTATAGTTTCTCATAAGTTAGTAACATATTATACTAACTATACTAACAATTCTCCCAAGTTACTCCATAAGTTGGTAACTTATTCTGCTAAGTCTACTCACAATTCTCCTAAAGTTACTATATAAGTTAGAACTTGTTCTACTAGCTCAAGTATATTAGCTAACACACAACAAGCAAATGCGTCGTCGTCAACCAAAGAAGCAAAGTACCCGTGAGACTTTAGGAGGGGTGTGAAGGTGTTAATATAACACATGCAGAAGCAATTTGGATCTTAGTCACTTTTAGAACATCAATTATAGTTAGCATGTTCATAAGTATTAAAACTTAATGAGTTTGAATACTAACCTTTTGTAGTTCAAATTTCTTTTTCCTCACGAACCGGTTTTGAACCACCACTAGTGTCTTCTCCACTATCCTCCGGCCTTAGAACGGGATTATGGAATCTGGTGAGTGACTAAACTTGGAATAGATTTTGTATATATGAAGAGAGTGTTTGTGAGAAGCTTTTCTCAAGGTTTTTCACCAACAAGAACGACCTTTCATGTACCATGATCACTCTATTTATAGAGTCATGTTTGCATGTTCATGCAAATTTGAGATCACCAAATTTTTGACACTCAAAATTCCACTCAAATGTTTGGGATTATGTGGGAAACATGCATGCTTGAGTTAACCAAATTTTAACACTTAAAATTCCACTCAAATTTGTGGGGTTTATTTGTTAATCATGCAAGTTTGGTTAAACCAAATTATGACACCTCAAAATTCCACTAACATGGATTTTTCCATTAAATGAAGTACATTTTGACTTTCTTCATTTTGATTCAACAATCAATTTGAATTATTAATTTCAATTAAAGTAATATTAAATGATTAATTAAACTATTTAATTAATATTTAATATTAATTCAAATGTCAATCCCAATTAATTCCGACACATATTTGATTAAAATATTTAAATCTTATTTAAATATCTCAGATTCTCTCTTTTTGTTTAATTCGTAAATAAAACAAAAATGCGGTTAAATATATCGTATATATGTAGCGCATTCTCCCTAATTTGAATTCGAACACTTAGAACTCACTCATCACACTGTTCTATGGTTTAGTCCATTATGAGCTAGCAGAGGAACCTAATGGACCTATAGATCATGGGCTCCAACGATCCAAGATTAACCGGTTAAACTCATTAACCTTGTTAACCAACATTCGTTAACTACTAGGACATTCCACTATAGCCTAGTAGTTGCACTCCCCTCACTATAGATATATTTCTATCCATTTGATATAACCACGATTAGTAAGTCGATCCTTCACAGGTTGTTCGTAACTAGAGCTGGGTCAATTTACCGTTTTACCCCTAAAGTTACTTCTTGTTCCTTGTGTCTCACTGATCCTCTAATGAACAATTGGTTTGTGGTCCAACATGTAAACCGAATCCCTCTCAGGCCAATGAGAGGGTGGGGCCCATTGTTCAAGACCTGGAGTCAGTACTTAAGGGAACTACCTCTCTTCTATCCCTAAAAGTGGGTAGGAGTGAATTCCATCTTACACCCCACGTCCCTAGCCATTTACCCAGTCTTAACCCTGAAATGGGAGGCCTATTGAGTCGGCAAACTTGAGCCACTCTCACTCATGCAAATCTAAGGATAATTCCGAATAAATAGGAGTTCATGATTAGCTCAGGATTAAGATCGAGTTACCTAGGTCATCAAATTTAAAGAAAATCAGTCTCAACAGTAAACGACATTATAAAGTGAGAGTGATTTTCTTCATGATCCAATCTTATGCAATACTCATTGCATAGGACGCCCCCACTCACATGTCTCCACATGTACAATTTAGTGATCACATTGTTTATATCATATACAAAAGTGGGCTGCATTCATATTGTCCCCAGAATAAGGTACTTAGTCTTATCCTTATACTATAGATAATTTTGATTATATACTTGAACTTGATCAACTCTTATGTCTCTACATATAGTTCAAGTAATCATACTATAGCCAGAGTGTTCTTAGTTTATTGGATTTAGATTAATGATCATATAGTTCAATTTATTCAATAACAATCTATACTGAATAAACAACAATAATAACTTTATTGAAAATAGAATATGTTTTTTGTTTACAAACTATGAGTTTTAGGACATAAAACCCAACAGGGTGATCCTCATAACTTTAGTGGGTCTATAGACGATCCGACAACAACACATTTATAGTTGAATTCAATAGAAAGAGTGTTAGAGCTGATCAATTGCTCAGATTATCAAAAGGTACAATGTGTAACGTTCATGTTGTGAGACGATGCAGAGTTGTGGTGGCAATCCACCCACAAGATTCTTAGTCCTAAGAGAAGTGTAATCTCGTGGTTGGACTTCAAGAGCGCCTTTTTGGAAGAGTATTAGCGTAAGAGGCTCAACTCTATAAATAGCGAAGAATTCACACAACTGAGTTAGAAAGTCTTGAAAGAATGTTCTGTTACCACATATGCGAGGGACTTTAGTCATGTAATTGAGGCGATAACGTTTACTACCTATTCTACCACCTTGAGAGCATCAAAACCATGGAAAATAAGGACGGAACTTGAGAATTCCCTCCAATTACGGTTGTTGTGGGACAAAAGTGACGTCATAACCAGATTGATCATTGTGACCCATCTCGTGCACGATCAAAACGACAACTTGATAGATATCACTAAGATCCAAGGGGTGGTCAACAACCAAACAATTATTAAAAATAGAGATGATTGACCTA